ATTAAAAATCTCAACTCAGTAAAGTTAAAAAAAAGAGGGATAAACTTTGCAGCACTCTGTTTGTTCAAATATAAAATAGTTACAAAAAGTTTATTGAATCAAAAAAGCAAAAACCTGGTGAGTAGAGGGAAGTTCTCCAGCATAAAGGAACGCCCGAGTCTTGCAATCAATAGTTGGACCGTCTTCAATAGCATAGTGAAATAGTTATATGAAACCCTAGGATAAACATTGGAATTTATGTTTTTTTTCTTTTTTTTTCTTTTTTGTAAGAGTAATTTTGATATTTTAAAATAGTTTCATTACGTATTTTTTATTTATTTATTACCAAATCTTATTATTTTTGATGAAAAATAAAACACAGTTCTAATAAGAACTTTTTTTTTGTACTATTTTTTACAATTTCTCATCTACCTAATCATTCAAATAATAACCATTCAAAATTATTTCTTTTTCTTTTTTCTTCCTCACCAAATCCCTCGATTCAAAGGGAGGGTTGATTTGGAAATAGACTATTTTAATAGTAACTTTTGATTTTTTGATTAAAATATAAGGTGAAAAAATAATTTATATTTGGAATGATTTATAATTTAAAAAAAAAAAAGAAATTCAAAAAATAAAGAGAGAATGAAATCTTTGAATTTTTTGTATAATTTTTTTACTTTTTTTTTAATGAGAAAATTAACCTAAGATCCCTCTCCCATTTTTAGTAATGGAAGAGATCCACAATATTATTTTATAATGTCTAAGGTTCCTCAACTCCCACACTAATATATCACAGAGAAATTTGACTCTATCAAATATTATAAAATCGTTACAGATATTTTTTTGTTCTAGCTTTCGATCAATCGCAACCATGGAAGGGGACGGAGACATGAGAGCAGCTTCATGAGTGAAAAAGCTTACTTCATAGTCGTCAATTTCTCCGACTTTATACGCCTCATCAGTATGATCCTTGTCAGAACTTTTGCTTTTATGTTTTGATAAGGAGTTCATATTCTCGGGAAAGCACAATATAGGCAAATGTGATTCAGCTGGTTCGATCACATTTTCTTGCGAGGACATTTTATCGTCAGAACCACCATAAAGTTCCTCGTCTCTTTCAGGGGACTCACATGGGTATATCTATCTCCAAATTTTCTGTGGAAAGTGAGAAAAAAAATTTCTCTAGAGAGAAGGGAAATTTCTCTGGAGCGAATGGAAGGCCAGAGAAATTTACAAAGGAAATTCTAGGGAATGTCAGAGAAATTGAAAAGTCCAGAGAAATTCTTTTCAGAATTTCTCTGGACCAATTTTCTCTTTGAAGTTGAATTTTCTCTGGAAGTCTACGGAATGATTTTCTTCTCTTTCTCGTCTATGCTAAGGTATGGCAAGATCTTATTGTCAACCACCTCATCTTGTTGGACTTGATCTACAAAGAGCACTAGGATTAGCAAACAGAATTTTGATAGCAAATCCTTTTTAAAAAAAAATTTGTAAGAAAACATATAAAATGCACGATGATGCAGAGTTTCCTGGATTGTGTGAATTTTCTCTAAACCATCTGAATTTTCTCTGGATGTCTAAATTTTCTTTGGACTATCTGAATTTTCTCTGGATGTCTAAATTTTCTTTGGACTATCTGAATTTTCTCTGGATAGAGAGAATTTCTCTGGATGTCTGGAGAGAATTTCTCTGGAAAGTTCGGAGAAATTCTCTGGACCGAATTTTCTTTGGATCAAATTCTCTCTGGATTAATGTTGAGGGATCATAAAATCTTAATATCAGGGACCTTAAAAAAAAATCTCCTTTTTTAATAACTTTTTAACTATTATAAGGAGTTTTCAAACTTACTCAGAGTGTTAGAAAAAGATGAAGTAAAGAAATTAAGGATAAATTACACTGACACCTTGGGGTTTGGTTTGATTACATCCCACCACCTAGCATTATAGAAATTATATTTCCACTCTTGTGGTTAATAGTCTCATTTCACAAAACCCTTATTTATATAAAAAGTAACAACTCTTGATAGAAAAACATAAAAAATTACATTGAAAAAATAAATAAAGCAAAGAAGGAAAAAAAAAAAAAGAAAAAAAAAAAGAGTAAAACAAAGCAAGAAAAAAAAAAAAGAATATATGAATTTAATATCTTTTTTATACAAACATTAATTTCGTCTAAATAATTACAACAATAAGGAGTTAGTGTAATTTTTCAAACATTAAGAGGTGATAAATATTAAATCCAAATCTCAGAAGGTGTAAACGTAATTTATTCAAAAATTAAACTAAAATCCCAAATAAATAAAGTAAGCACAATCCAAAAGGAAAACCTCCACTATTCTTGAATCTTTAAATGAATTTCAACAACCAAATAACTTTAACAACCATTGTATGTTGAATTGTGAATAATAAAAACAAGTCGAGAGAGAGAGAGTTTTTACATTTGAGTCTATCTACTGGGGAGTAGGAACTCATAATATTTTTCCGAGGCCGGTGCCGTTGACAACGATCACACGAAAAATGGTAGATTCCAATAATGAGCAAGGGATAGTTCCAGAGTGAGAGATAAGCACAAGATAGTTATATTGATTGGGTCATTAAAGACTTTATTTTTTTATTTTTTTTTATTTTTAAGATAATCAATATACTGATTTTGTTTATATTATTTTAGAAATTTCCCTTCACATAATTCTATAATGGTTGAAGGACCCTAACAATTTTTAGTGTATAAAGTCCTTCATAATAGTCAATTTTTATCTTTCTTGTAATCATATCTATGATGATTGTGCTTTGACACTATCACTTGTAACAAGTCCCGACGAATTTTTTGCTGAACTAACTCATAAGCACAAATCAATCATTGTGCACGTCTCACAATAAATTCATTGTCTTTAGATAATTCAAAAAATCGACAAGTGGATTGGTTTTATCTCTATATCATATTTCATGAGTGCTCTAGAGTCACCCTTAGACTCATAGGAAGTGATTCCACCTTATAGCGTCTATGGTTTAGACCTGACCCATGATATGTTTTGGATCCGGATTTCATTATCTTGTATAGTTGTTCATGTCTTGTATTCCCTTTTACCTCTTTGAGTTTGGTTTTTGGATTGTTTTGGTTGTGTTGGAAACATGTTAGTAGCTTATTTTTCAAACTGTTGTTGCCCAACAGTTTGCTCCTACACTCGAGTGTAACTTCTTACACTCAAGCGATCTTTATGAACTCTCAGTACTTTTGCAGGTCTACAAAACTACTGAGAATTTGTATTCTTCGCTCGAGCGGCCCTTATTATGCTTAAATGTTTGCCTTCTGTATGTAAAACTATTAGGAATTTGTATTTCATGCTCGAGCGATAACTTCTTGTGCTCGAGCGGTCACATCTTTTGCTCAAACAGGTTCTTGCAGAAACTCTATGTTTGTTCTCTATGTTCTCTGTTCTTATCCAGGAAAAAGTTATCTTGTTCAAGGTTGATCTAATATTTGCGTTGCAATCAATACATCTCCTCAATTGTTCTATGAAATAGTTAGTGGTTAGTGGTGACAGTAACTTTTGTTTACTGTTGTAAACTTACTATTTTGTTCTTTTTTCCCCTTAAACTCAAAATATAATAATTAATACGTATCTATGAGTACCAAAATTTATCTAGTGGATCAAGAATTCCAGCGCTGCTGCGTGCCCATTCAATTGCATGCGACTCATTTTATCCAATCCCACCCAGATAAAGGTAGGGTTTGAAGGCAAACTAACTAGTATTAACAACTCAACCAGCCAAACTATCTTTGTGCCTTAATCATTCCACAGATGCTATTGTAGATATCAATCAATTGCACATCTTGCACTTGAATTGATTCCATCTGCAATTCCATGTTTAGATAAATGTTACCAGCACCACTAATAACCCAAGAATAAGTCTTAAGATCAGTCAACATTCATCCATTCAGTCCTGAGAGCTGCCCGAGGAGATTTACAATCAATTAGCAAAAGGAAAACTAAAGCTCTTATTCAAAATAGTCCGAACTGAATTAGCAAACAAAATTCATTCATACAAGGAGAACGTAAATCAAACCGTTATTCAAGAGTCAAGATTAGAACATAAGGTAAGAACAAAAGGGACTCAAATCATTTCATTTCCAAGTCATACAACGTTCTTCAATCAATTAATTGTTTGTCTGATGAATTATATACTTAAATACTGTGGCTGCTCTTTAGGCAATGTCAGAAAATATAATGATCATTCCATAAATAAATTAAAAAATGATGTAAACAATATATTGCAAATGAAATCATCATTCATCATTATAAGTGAATGATCATTCTATAGAAAGATTAATGAATGAGCATTCTATATTTATTCCAGTAAACCAAAAACTATATACTCTTTACAATGATTTCCACTAGCCTATTAAGAACAAAGCTATGTTAAAAGAAACTGATCTACATCTGGTTCTCAAACAGGAAGCTTACAGTCTTTTCTCGACTACCAGCTCTTTCAAGGGCTACATCCTAGAGGACAGACATTATTGATAATATCAGTTGGTTCTAATCCAATCTATCTTGTTACGATGCTGTGTCGAGACAAGTTCATTCTTGCTATCTTGGTGACTAGAAATCCTAAGACCAAAATGCTATCCCATAAGAGTTGATGTTGCTGCTTTGGGTCCGGTGCTGCTATATCCTGCCAAATATCAAAGCCACTCCACCACTTTGGGGTACATGGAATAGCTAGGGTAGAGCAGTTTAATTTGACATGTGGTTGAGCCTCTTGGAAACTTTAGAACATTAGCCTTTATTTTTTTATTCCTAGTCCGAGACGTAATAGTCAGCTTCTTCAAAACCATTGCATTCCCCAAAAGATACCTTACCAGCTTCATTTCCCCCTTATACCCTGCAAATCCACTAAATTCAATTGCCTCCAGGCAGAGTGACAGACATTTGGGCACACTCTCTGGTTCCCCAATCCACAAACACAACTCGCCGACCCTGCAATCCTAGTAACAATCACAAGAAAAACATCAAATATACCAGTAAATATATAATAATAAAAACTGAAATGATCTCTAACAAATGAACTCACCTTGTTCTTGTTGAAAACTAAAACTTTCAAATTAGGCAGGTGGCCAAGCAAGTCGAGCAAAATTGACCATTGAATATCGTAAATTTGCAAGTGCAAATGGGTCAAATTATGAAGCAACAGTTTATTGTAGTGAAAAGCTTCAATGACAACCTGAAAAAGATTTTATTATTATTATTTTTTTAGGTGAGAATTTAAACTCAACTTAAAAGAGTATTAATGAACTGATGACCATAATAACATTAAACTGCTAATTACCTTGGGGATGCCATGCCTTAATTCCAAATGCTGAACATTAGAAATCTTTCCAAGCATCCCAACTACACCATTATAGTAATCCTCACTTCTGTGATCGACAAAACAAATTGTAAAATTTGCTTTAACTAAGGAGGGGAGTTCATCCACATCAAAAACGCTGGACGCATTATCATTAAGCTGAAAGATTTCGAGAACTGGGGTTTTAATCACGACACTTTGTTGGAGACTTGTTCCACAGAAGTTGTTATACATACGTAATTTCTTCAGAGTAGATGAGCAAATGCATAATGTCATTATGTTATCCCATAGATTAGTCCTCTCTATGTCCAATTCATCAAGGACTGGGCAGCCAGAGAGGATGTTTTGGAAAGAATCATCATCCAGAAACGTCAATGAATGAAGATGGAGGACCTTGAGACTCGGCAAAAAAACTGGCATAGGAAACCAAAAAAAGACAGCACCAGCTAACTTCAAAACCACAAGATTGACAGAGGTAAATAGGCTTTGAGGCAATTCAACAACAAGCTGATAAAATTGGAAATTAAGAACAAGTTCTTTAACATTAAGCTTGATTGCGGTGCAAATCCATGAATTAAGACGATACGGATGACGGTACCCATATTGACATTGAAGGCGAAACTTATTTAAATTTGAGGAATTGCGGAGAAGCAGAAGTCTGTCTACAAAATCAATGAAGCCAGAACTTTGCTCGTTACTGTATAAGTCAATAATGTGGACTGAAGTCCAAATGGATTTCCATCTGGTAGATAATAAGCTGGTTCGGGCAGCATATTTCGTGGGCATAAAACACAATATATGAGAAAGAATTTCGTCTGGCAAATTGCTGATCCGATCTTTTTCTTTAGAATCACTGAGTTTTGAGGATTGATCCATCATTAAAGCCACTGGTAAGTGAATCGAAAAAACCAGAGTGAAAATTTCGCTAGGGTTTCATTCATTTAGCCAAAAATTATTGCAGAAAAATGAATAGTAAAAATAACAAAATAAAATTAAAAATACAACAATGGGATATATGAACTACACAAATTTCGCTGCCAAAAAATTAAAAATCTCAACTCAGTAAAGTTAAAAAAAAAGAGGGATAAACCTTGCAGCACTCTGTTCTGTTTGTTCAAATATAATATGTAGATATATAGTAATAAAAAGTTTATTGAATCAAAAAAGCAAAAACCTGGTGAGTAGAGAGGGAAGTTCTCCAGCATAAAGGAACGCCAGAGTCTTGCAATCAATGGTTAGAGTAATTTTGATATTTTAAAAAAATTTCGTTACTTATTTTTTTTTAATTACAAAATCTTATTACTTTTTATGAAAAATAAAACACAGTTCTAATAAGAGTTTTTTTTTTATTATTTTTCATCATTTCTCACCTACTTAATTATTTAAATAATAATCATTCAAAATCATTTCCCCCCCTCACCAAATCCCTCCATTTATACGGAGGGCTAGTTTAAAAATAGACTTTTTTAATACTAACTTTTTAATTTTTTAATTAAAATATGAGGTGTAATTTTCAAAGAAGGAAAAACAAACATTAATTTTGTTTAAATTAAAGCAAACATTAATTTTGAATTCAATATCTTTTTTTAACATTGAAAAAAAAAAAGTAAAGCAAAGAAGGAAAAACAAAAAAGTATATGAATTCAATATCTTTTTTTATACAAACATTAATTTTGTCTAAATAATTACAATAACAAGAGGATCAGTGTAATTTTCCAAACATCAGAAGGTGATAAATATTAAATCCAAATCTCATAAGGTGTAAGCGCAGTTTATTCAAAAATTAAACTAAAATCTCAAATAAATAAAGTAGAATAATGCTATATGTACCAATTAGTGTATTAACTAGTATACCAACACTAGTTATAAAATTATTATTGACCTCACTCATTAATTACATTACAAATACCAAAAACATCTTAAATTGTGCCACATCATCAATTGGTATACTAATTAGTACATTAATTGGTACATGTAACAATACCGAATAAAGTAAGCACAATCCAAAAGAAAACCCTCCACTATTCTTGTATATTTAAATGAATTTCAACAATCAAAACTCTAACTTTAACAACCATTGTATGCTGAATTGTGAATAAAAAAAACAAATTGAGAGAGAGAGTTTTACATTTGAGTCTATCAACTGGGGAGTAGGAACTCAAAATATTTCCCCGAGGCCGGTGCCATTGACAACGATCACACGAAAAATGGTAGATTCCAATAATGAGCGGGGGATAGTTCCAGAGTGAGAGATAAGTGCAAGATGGTTATATTGATTGGGTCTTTGGAGACTTTGTTTTTGTTTTTATTTTTATTTTATTATTTTTTATTTAAGATAATCAATATACTGATTTTGTTTATATTATTTTAGAAATTTCCCTTCACATAATTCTCTAATGGTTGATGGAGAACAATTTTTAGTGTATAAAGTCCTTCACAATAGTCAATTTTTATCTTTCCTGTTATCATATCTATGATGGTTGTGCTTCGACACTATCACTTGTAAGAAGTCCCAACGAATTTTTTGCCCAACTAACTCATAAGCACGAATCAATCATTGCGCACGTCTCACACATAAATTTCATTCTCTTTAAATAATTTAAAAAAGCGACAAGTGGATTGGTTTTTATCTCTATATCATGTTTCATGAGTGCTCTAGAGTCACCCTTAAACTCATAAAAAGCGGTTCCAACTTATAGTGTCTCTGGTTTAGACCCGACACATGGTATGTTTTGGACTAGGTTTCATTGTCTTCTATAGTTATCCATGTCTTGTTTTCCCTTTTACCTCTTTGAGTTTGGCTTTTGGATTGTGTTGGTTGTGTGGGGAACAGGTTGGTAGCTTGTTTTTCAAACTGTTGTTGCCCAGAATTTTGCCTTCTACGCTCGAGCGTAACTTCTTGCACTTAAGTGGTCTTTGTGAACTCTCAGTACTTTTGCAGATCTGCAAAACTATTGGAAATTGGTATTCTTCACTCGAGCGGTCTTGGCTTGAGCGGCCCTTATTGCGCTCGAGCGTTTGCCTTATGTTTGTAAAACTACTAGGAGTTGTATTTCACTATCGAATGACAACTTCTCGTGCTCAAGTGGTCACATCTTTTGTGTCTTATGCTTGAGCGTCAGTTCGTAAAAGTCACTTTTTACATCACTTTTTCATTTCACTCTCTCTAAACTTTTTAAAAACCCTAGATCTACACACACACACACACTCTCTCTCTCTTTCTCTCTCTAAAACACACATTCTCTCTTCTAAAACACCTAGATTCATTGATTTCTCTACCCTACTCCCTTGCAGAAATATGTAGAGCTCACTTAGAGCTTCATTTTCATTCGAACAAAGTTGGGTTTCGGCGTCGTTGAAGTTTCTTCACTCTCTCCTTGGTCTTCTAGCTTCGAGATAGGGATCCTTCACATTGTTATATGAGTTTTACCATAGCTATTTGCTATTTCAAACGATTATGGTGGTTTTTGTCAAAAACCTAGGGTTTGGAATTAAAATGTAAAAGAGGGGTTTTCAAATGGTTTCTTGAAAATAGTTGTGGTTATGAAATTGGAATTGATATATGTTGAAATCAGCTATTTCCTACATTGAAATTGATTTTCAAAGAGAAATAGATTTTGCCCCAAAATGTGAATGTTTGAGATTGTAAAGAAAAAATGGAATTGATGTTGAGAATTATGAAATTGAAGTATTGTTGATGATGATGGCGGAGTTGGATATGTATTATCACTCCCATTTGAGATTTTGAAAAAGTGTATCTTTAATGAAATTTATTATTCTATTTAGAAATATCTGTTTTGGGCTACTGGTGGAGGATAGCTATGAGTGTTGTAGAAATTGCATGAGAATTAGGTGAATTAAAACTAATTTCTCATCCATATGTATTGAACATTGTTGCTTATTTAATATTTTAAAAATGTGTATGATTTTGAGAAAAAATGGGTGAACGTGGGAAAGATATATATATCACCAAATTAAGTTGGCCCGTGTGTCTAAGATGAAAATCCCAAAAAATGCGCGTATACATGGGTGCTGATTCCCACAGATGCTATATCCATAAAATGGAAATAGTAGCGCTTGTATAGGCTACATTTATATGGGTCCTGTTTGACGATTTCTTGCTGATGAAATTTCCGTAAAAGGTTGTGCTGGTTTGAGATTTCCTCATGTCTTTCTATTGTAAAGGACATGATTTTAAGAATTGTGATATAAACCTGGCATAGCATGGTTTTCGAAAAATGGTATAAATGTTTTGGCACTGGCATTGCATATGCATAAAACCTTATATCTTTGTTAAGATTTATACATTGTATTGTAGTGTTTCTACTAGGCTTTGGCTCATCCTATGTGCGAAAAACCACTTTCAGGTGCTGGTGATATGCCTCTACCAAGGACTTAGCTTGTGGAGCTGAAGGCTCATTGTTGTTTATTTTGTATTTAATTTTGTACAAACTTAGGGCTTTATCTATATTGAGCTTAAGACTCACTTTTGATATACCCAAGCATTGACTTAGAAAGATGTAAGTCTTTAAGGCATACGATTATTTATTTAGCTTTCATTTCTTTTCACTATCTTGTAGCACATGTTATAGATTCAGGATGTACTGTTTATAAATGTATATCGCATGTGTTACCTTTTGTATATCAAACTTTGATCAATAAAAGCTTATTAATTCATTTGTGTTGCTATTTATTGGATGTTTTGAGATAGGTATCTCGTGTTTATTTTGGAGCGTTACAACTTGGTATCCGAGCGTACCGGGTTTGAATACTTTGGGTACGTATGAAGTGGTTATTACCATAATGGGTTTGTCTCGCTCGATAGAGACATTTGTATGTATGGTATGCTATGTGATAACATGCTTATGTGATTATATAAGTATGAGATTTAATTTCTAGGATATTGATTAAGTCTACAAGTTTCTAGAAGTCCTATTAGAAGAGCACTTGATCACTGCTGTTTCTAATTGGAACTCTAGTAACACCGCGGGACCGTCATTATCTAGGAAGGAAATTTGTATGTGTTTATGTGACTATGTGCTTATGTGGAGTGAATTACTGTTTTCCACCATATTAGAACACGTGTGAGTTAGCTTCACATTTGTAAATGTGGTAATCTCCTTTATTACCTTCATTAGGATGTCAAGACGTGGTCATGGTGGTGGTAGGCGTGGTAGGCCTAGAAGGCATGAGGTGCCTTTATTGGAAGAAATTCCGGCGCAAGAGGAGAGGGTTGGTCAGGCCAATGTGGTCGAACCAGTTGGCTAGTAGGCCATGAAAGCTTTGGCCAGTGAGATGGTTAGGGCTTTGAGAGAATTCATGGACATTCTTAGAGCTGAGAATCAAGTCCAGGCCTATGTTGCTGAGACATGGCTGTCTTTTCTGAAGCGAGAGTTTTTCCGATCGAATCCGGATGAGTTTTTGGGTGACCCTAAGGAGCCATTGAAGGCCGATGAGTGGTTGGAGCAGATAATGAATATGTTTGAGATGCTTGGCATCGAGGACAACAGATTGAGAGTGACCTTGGCTTCCTTTCAACTGAAGGGAGATGCAAGCCAATGGTGGAAGTATGAGCGTGGGCGCATTGGAGTGACTTGGGAGGCTTTTGTCAACGCCTTCCAGGACAAGTTCTTACCTCCCATGGTTAGGAAGAAATTGAAGGAGCAATTCTCAAAGCTCAAGCTGCTCAACATACTTGTAGTTGAGTTTGAGGATACCTTTACTAGCCTTTCCAGGTTTGCACCAGAGTTGATGGCGACAGAGGAGCGCCGTTATGTAGAGTTTGAGAAAAGGTTGAGGACTAGGCTTCTTTTTGAGGTAGCTAGTTTAATGATTAGAGGTTACGGGCGACTTGTAGAGTTGGCGGCTCATCTTGAGGCCGTGATGC